CCAAGTTTGAATTCAGTCTGGGACAAGTTTGAATTCAGTCTGGGACAAGTTTGAATTCCTTTTGGGACAAGTTTGAATTCAGTCTGGGTCCCCCCTGCCCAGTGTCCATCCCCTGCTCCCCAAACCCAGAGCCCCGCGTGGGCAGCCGTGGAAAATCGGGAAGGACGGCCTCGGATCCCGACCTTCCCACCAGCCAGGCTGTGGATCAACCCTCCCCCCGGAGCCCCCGGCCCACCTATGGTGACCTCGAAGCTGATGGGCTTGTCCCCGACCCTCCTGTCGATCATGGTGGCCTCCAGGAAGGCCCCGAAGAGGAAGAATTCCTCCATCTTCCCGGTGCAGTTCTGCGGGAGAGACAAGTCCCGGGGATCAGGGGCGGGTGGGGGGACAGGGGGGCACCCCCGGCACCCCTGGGCACCCTCGGGGGGAGGTGCCACTCTCGGCATTCCAAGGGTTTCCCCTCCCGCCTCTTGGCTCGTTCCAGGGGGTTTAATTAAGGATTTCATTGGAATGCCTTCTGATTAAGGGACACCTCCCACCATCCCCGGGCACTTGGACACTCCCAGGGATCCAGGGGCAGTCGCAGCTTCCCTGGGAAAGCTGTGCCAGGGCCAGGGAAACGATCCCACTCCAGCATTCCTTCTGCCCAGAGTTCCTAAGGAACCTGAGCACTGGAATGAGCCCAGAACCCGCAGTGGGATGGCTCATTGTCCCTGTCCATCTCCCAACACCTCAGAGCTCAGGAGATCACAGAAACCATGGAATGGTTTGGGTTGGAAGGGATCTGAAAGCTCATCCCATTCCAAACCCTGCAGGGACACCTCCCGCTATCCTCGGGCACTTGGACACTCCCAGGGATCCAGGGGCAGCCACAGCTTCCCTGGGAAAGCAGCCACAGCTTTCCCTGCCAGGGCCAGGAAAACGATCCCACTCCTTCTGTCCAGAGTTCCTACTCAAATATTCCTTCTGCCCACAATTCCTAAGGAACCTGAGCACTGGAATGAGCCCAGAACCCACAGTGGGATGGCTCATTGTCCCTGTCCATCTCCCAGCACCTCAGAGCTCAGGAGATCACAGAATCCATGGAATGGTTTGGGTTGGAAGGCACCTTAAATCCCATCCCATTCCAAAACCTGCAGGGACACCTCCCGCTATCCTCGGGCACTTGGACACTCCCAGGGATCCAGGGGCAGCCACAGTTTCCCTGGGAAAGCTGTGCCAGGGCCAGGGAAACGATCCCACTCCTTCTGCCCAGAGTTCCTACTCAAATATTCCTTCTGCCAGCATTCCTAAGGAACCTGAGCACTGGAATGAGCCCAGAACCCACAATGGGATGGCTCATTGTCCCTGTCCATCTCCCAACACCTCAAAAAGTTCAGGAGACCACAGAAACCATGGAATGGTTTGGGTTGGAAGGGATCTGAAAGCTCATCCCGCTCCAACCCCTGCAGGGACAAGCGAGGCCAAAGACAACCCCCCCGAGCCCCCTGAGCCCCAAATTCCCCCCGGGGCAGGACTGACCTCGGCCACGGCCGTGGCCTGTTCCACCTGCACCTCGGTGGAGCCATTGATCTCGGGGTTGGTGGTGTCCAGGATCTCCACGGCGAGGCCCAGCAGGAGCCGGGCGCGGAAGGAGACGCCTTCCCCCAGCCCCTCGTTGAGCTCCTGGTGCTCGTCCATCAGGGTGTAGTTGCGGGTGGAGCCGTACATGTTCACCCAGGCGGGGCCGAAGGTGGGCAGGAAGCCTGCAGGGCACGGAATGGGCACGGAATGGGCGTGGAATGGGTGTGGATGCGCCGGGAGAAGGGCGTGTGTC